CATCGGCCATGGCGGAGTGAGAGTCCGTGGGCAAGGGGCGGACATGCCGCGGCGGAAGCGCACGCGGGCGGCCAGTGCTTGGGACAGCCCGCAGGTGCCCGGGCCCAGGCTCCCTGTGGTGCTGCTCCCCTCATCGAGGCCGCTGCAGCCGAGGCAGGCGGCGGCAAGTGCTGGCGGTCGTGGATGTGCGCCGGCAGTCGAGTGCTTCGCCCTTGATGCCACGGATGGGCAGGAGGCCAGTGCCGTGTACGAGCTCGACTGGGCAGCCATCGGCGTGCAGGCGGACGTGGGTGTGGTCGTGGACGTTCGCGGATCGGGCGTCGTGAGCGCGGCTGCCGCCCTGTCCGTGGTGGCCATCGCCGTGGGCTCGTCCTTCGGCCGCGTCTCGGTGCCGCTGCTCGAGCTGCTGGGGGCGCTCGCGGGGTTCTTCTCCCTCGTGGCGTGCGGCCTGGTACTGCTCTGGCCGCAGGTGTGCGCCGTCGTGCCGAGGGCCGTGGAGAGCGTGGTGGGGCAGGCGGAGGTGCACGGCGAGGATAGCGCCGACCTGCCGAAGGAGAGCGAGGCGGAGCCGTCGGAGGCCTACGTCGAGGAGTTCGTGGAGGCGCCGACGTCCGAGGGCGTCGACGAGTGTGTCCACGTCCACGTGCAGAAGGTGTCGTTCATGGAGGTCGCCGCCGAGGAGTTCGTGGAGGTGCCGGCGTCCGGGGGCATCGAGAGGAGCGCCTACGTTCCGCAGAGCCACGCCGAGGGGGAGCTCGTCGGCGGGGTGGGCGTCGCGGTGCTGACGGCGGAGCACGTCGAGGAGGTCTTGGAGGGGCCGTCGTTCGAGGGCGTCGTGGCGAACGCTCACGTGCCGAAGGTGCCGATCCCGTCGGAGGATTACGTCGAGGAGTTCGTGGAGGCGCCGACGTCCGAGGGCGTCGACGAGTGTGTCCACGTCCACGTGCAGAAGGGGTCGTTCATGGAGGTCGCCGCCGAGGAGTTCGTGGAGGTGCCCGTGGCCGCGGGCATCGAGAGGAGCGCCTACGTGCCGCAGAACCACTCCGAGGGGGAGCTTGTCGGCGAGGTGAGCGTGGCGGTGCCAGCGGCGGACTACGTCGAGAAGGTCGTGGAGGTGGCTTCGTCCGAGGACGTCGAGGTCAGCGCCCACGTGCCGAATGTGCCGTTCAAGATCGTGGAGGGGCGGCCAGGGGGGCCGCCCGAGGCCGCCGCCGGGGCTGCCGGCCGCGCCGAGGGGCGGCCAGGGGTGCCGACGGGCATCGAGGGGAGCGTCCACGCGCCGAGGAGCGACGCCGTCGCCGAGGAGGAGCTCGTCGGCGAGGTGAGCGTGGTGCCGCCGAGGCCCGTGGAGCAGAGGCCCCGCTGGGCCGATGCAGGGGACGAGGACTGTGACGTGCTGGTCGAGCTGCCGACGGCCTCCCTGGAGCAGGCGCGGGCGGGCGGCTCGCGGCCGCGGCGCAGGCGCAGGCGCAAGGGGACCAACTGGCAGATAGTGCAGTTCGCCGTTGATGTGCTCGAGCGGTTTGGCTCCCTCCGAGAGTCGCTGGCGGCCACGCTCGGGCCCAGGGCGGTGAATGTGGCTTTCGAGGGGCTGTTCGACGAGGCGTCAACAGCCGCGGAGTGGGGCTGCGACGTGTCGATCGGCTCCGAGACGGGGAACACCTTGGTTCAGATGTTCCTCGGTGGCGAGTTCGCGGAGTGCGCCGACTCGTGGCTCCAGGTCGTCGCGGCCGGGGAGAATGAGTTCTCCGAGGTGAGCCGCGCGCGGGGGCGAGGGGCGAAAGCGGGCGGGGAGGGGCCTCGGAGCGAGGCCCCGCTCTCCCCGTCCGTGCTGGATCCCCCTCGGAATCTTGCGAGGGCGGCCCCGTGAGGCCTGCCTGGGGCTCCTCCTGGGGTCGTGCCGCCTGGCCCGCGGGCCTGTGCGGGGTGGGCGCGCCCTCCTTGGATCCCCCCTCGGGGTTCCAAGGCGGTCGCGCGGGCGTCGGGCTCCGTCCTCGTCGCCACGGCCCGCGCGTCGGGGCGCGAGGCCGCGAGGGGTGCGCAGTGGATCGACTCTGCCCCCCATGTCGCGCCGATCCTCTCCCTCCTCCCCCTTTTCCCCCTCCTCCTCCTCCTCCCCCTCCTCCTCCTCTCTCCTCCTCCTCCTCCTCCTCCTCCTCCTCCTCCTCCCCCTCCTCCTCCCCCTTCTCCTCCTCCTCCTCCTCCTCCTCCTCCTCCTCCTCCTCCTCCTCCTCCTCCGCTCTCCGCCGATTCTAGCTTATCGTTTCCCGAGCGGCGAGGCCAGAACAAAACGTCCGCCGCGGGAGCACGCACGGCCCGACCTCTCGGCGCACGCAGCGCCCCTTCTGGGGGGCGGCGCCCACGGAGTGTTAGCATGTCTGGGTGGCGTCGATGGAGAGCATGATGGTGAGGATGATGGTGGTGGTGATGGTGGTGATGATGCTGGTGATGCTGTTGCTGATGATGCGAATGATGATGATGGCAGTGATGATCATGAGCATGATGATTACGATGGCGGTGATTATGATGATGGTGATGATGGTGATGATGTTGATGATGGTGATGACGGTGATGGGAATGTTAATGATGATGGTGATAGTGGTGATGATGATGCTGATGGCAATGTTGGTGACGACCATGATGATGACGATGATGGTCATGCATGGTGATGATGATGATGACGATGATGGTGATGGTCATGACGATGGTGATGATGGTGTGTGACGGTTGTGATGATGGTGAGGATAATGATGGTGAGGATGATGATGGTGAGGCAGGTTTTTGTGATGGTGACGATGATGAGGATTATGACTGTGATGATGATGATGATGATGATGATGATGATTATGATAATGATGATGATGGTGATGATGGTTATGGTGATGATGGTGATGGTGATGGTGCTGATTATGATGATAATGATGGTGGTGGTGATGATGGTGATGGTAATGGTGATGATGACGATGCTGATGATGACGATGATGATGATGGTGATCATGACAATGGTGATGGTGGCAACGATGATGATGATGATGATGGTGGTGATGGTGGTAAGGATGATGATGATGATGATGATGATGATGATGATGATGATGATGATGATGATGATGATGATGATGATGATGATGATGATGACGGGCTAATTCTAAATCGCCACTGCCATAGGTAGGACGGGTGAGAATGGAGAATGGGGAGGTCCTCCTCCTCCTCCTCCTCTTCCTCCTCCATCTTCCTCCTCTCCCACCCATGGTAGTGGTGGTGGAAAATCGTCTCATCAGGTGATGATGGTGATGATGATGATGATGATGATGATGATGATGATGATGATGATGTCCTCTTTTCGGCCAGCGGTCGAGCCGCTGTGACAAGGCGTTGGCCCCACGGGGACTCTCCGAGCCCTGTTGTGAGCTCGCTGGGTACACCTCCTACGACCAAACTGGCTACGGACGTTGGCAAGAAGACACATACACACATCGATCGGTGGCAACACATGGGAGCCTCCCATACCATCTTGTCGGCTCTTGCGAATCGACGCTAGTCGACGCTAAATCGACGTTCATCCACGCTAAATCGACGCCAACCGACACTAAATCGGCGCTATCTCATCGACTTCCAAACGCTAATCGACACGAGTCGACGCTAAAAACTGAATAAAAGTGTATACCAAACTCCCGTGATTTCCTGCCGAAGCTTCCCCTTTGTCCGCCTGCCCGGCCCCCGCGGCTTGGCAGAACGACCAGTGCCGACCGCCGCGGGCCAATGCTCGCCGTGCGAGGGGAAAATTGGAACGCATCTTCGGAGGAACTTGTCTGTCCCATGGCCCGTCGCGCCGCGATCGACGTCGAGTTCGTGCCGAATCCGTGTCGAACGCATCGAATCCATGTCGAATCCGTGTCGAATCCGCGTGGATCCGCGTCGAACCCGCGTCGGAGCACAAGAAAGGACTGCCACTTGCAGGACAGGAGAGGTCCCTCGAAGACGCACAGTATGGGAAGGAGGGGGGAGGGCGGAAGATGAAAAGAGCGACGATCGGAAACGGGTCTCGCGCGAGATGACATAACGACCCTGCGCGATGGCTTGCGCGGGCCGCCAGCACGGCACGCCGCGCGAACAAGAGAGGGTGCTCACGCGCGGCCGTCGCGGGAGGCCGACGCGCGAATGTCTGCGCAACCCACCCCGTGTTCTTCCGTCGAGGAGGGCTGGAGAGCCCTCCGAGGGAGACGGGGCCTGAACCCTCAGGGAGGGCATTTGTTGCAGCCCGAGTCGTTTTCTCTAGCTGTCTCGGGGCCCGTGGAGGGCCCCAGGAGCAACGGCCCCAAACTTGCAGGACCCTTGGCACTCAGGACGCCTTCCCTCCACGGCGAACAGGGAGAGGAAGGGATGTCCGCCAAGAGGAAGAAATAGGTGGAAGCATGAAGTAGGAAGGCGAACAAGGTAATTAGATTGGGTTCGGGCCCGCCCAAAGAATAACAAAAACATGTCGTTTGGTGGAGTAGCAAGGCGCTTGAAGTATGTTGGGATCTGGATCTCCCAGAATACCTTCTTTCAACAACAGGCATGTATTGGAGAGGCGAGAGGAGGAGCGGCGGAAGGCTGCGGAGGAGAATGGAGGAGGGCGGAGAAGGATGGCGGAGGATGACGACCATGAGCCAGGAAGATCCGGCGAACCAGAACATGTCTTGCTTCGAACGATCCTCACCGAAACCTTCGGCGTTTGATCCCGAGCCTGGTACTGCTAGTTACTGTGGCTAGCCTGAGCTGGGCGCGCATGTCGCGTTCGATAACAAGCCGTTGCTCGGTCAATGCTGCGTTCTACTCTATCACGTTCTGTTCGGTTCTGTCTTATGATGTTCACATATCATTTTTCGGTTCGGCTCTGGTCTCGACGGGACGTCTTGACGTCGTGACGCCTGTCACGTTCGATAAGTATGCCGTCTGATCGATTGTTGATGCGTCTGTCTGTTCCTTGTGCCAGCCTCACGTCGGCTTGCTTGTTGCGTCTGATAGGGTGCCATAAATCGGTCGCAGCCGTATTCTCCACTCTTCGACGATGTTAAGTTCAAATATGCTCTCTTCCATGCTACTCTGTACCATTATGTTATGTTCTGTCCTGGGCTGGCCAGCGTGAAGTCGCGACGCCTGTCACTTTTGATGTCGTCAAGGCGGTCATTGCTGCACCTCTTTGTCCTGGTGGCCAGCTGACCTCTGCGCGCACGCCGCGTTTGATAGGGCGCCGTTGATCAGTTGCTCACTTCTCTTCTTATTTTGAGTGAACGCCGCTCAATGCTGGACTATACGTGTACTGTATTCCGATATATGATGATTCGCCATCTTCTCTATTTTTTAATACACACTGTCATGCTAATGTGTTACAGCCAACTCTCTTCTACACTACACTGCTCAGCAATATGTAATTGAGTTATGTGATGGTAAGTGTGATGATGTGCTATGTCATGTTGGTTTGCAGTCTGAGGTGCACCCTAATGATTGCACCCTGGCTTGCTGTGCTCTTAGAACAGCACTGTACTCTCTTTCGCAATTGAATGATGTTGCCGTGTGCTACATGCGTGTCGTGGTATGTGTTTGGCAGGCTGTTTGGTGTTAGTGGCTCTGCTATGTGAGCGTTTTCTTATTCAGCGTTTCGGCAATGGGCGTAAAGGGAGGGTAGGGGGGGGTCTAGCTCCGAACCTCTGCTGAACGCCACTGTTTGAAACCGTGCGTCCTCTGGGGGATACTCTATCTGCTTGAAACAGGCGCCAAAAACAGCCAAGATGTACTCCATGGTGGGGGGGGGGTACGAGGTCCCGCGCCGATCGGCAAAACAACGAATAAGAAAACGATCACTATGTCATTGCCAAGAACATTTTCGCTTGCGCTCTTACCTGAAATATGTTATCGTGCTGTGTTGCGGTCATGTTCTGCCCTGCTATATTGCATGTGGTTATGCTATTCCGTGTTGTACTGCGTTATGAGGTGTTTGTTCCCGATGCCTGTGCTGCATCATTGGTCAACGTATAGTGTATATTGGAAACGCTGACGTAATGGTAGCAGTAACGCAACCGTTATGATATGGTCTGTACTGTTCTGTCAGCTTAAACTGTGGTGTACCCTGTTATGTTGCAACCTGGTGCCATATGTCATGGTCTGGCAGGTTGTGATCAAAGGTTAAGGTGTGCTGTGGTCTGGCATTGCTTGTTCTGACATGCCAGTAATTATCTAATGTGCTGCGGTAGCCGATGATCTGCATAGAGTGCAGTGTCGTGATCTGTTGGGGGTGTTATACGGCTAGCCAATCATGTAATATTATCATATGATATAGTATGTTCGTTTGTCGCACTGGTAGTATCAGTAGGACACGCCTGATGTGCTTCGCTGGGTGTTGTTAAGCGCGGTCATGCTATGCGATGGCATGTAACGTTATGCTCCTGTGATATGGCATGATTGGATATGCTGTGGTATGGTTTGTTGTGTTACGGTGTGAGGTGTGGCTCGCATCACAGTCTGTTTGTGATGCTCTAGGCGCCCGCGTTTGCTGTGTGCTCTTGATGCCAATTCTTCACGCCTTTTTGCTCATGCGTCGCGACGCCTGGACGGCGCGACGCCGTGACGCCTCCTCCTCCTCCTCCTCCTCGGGGCTGTCTGGTATGCAGAGTGTCGTAATTTTGTCGAGGACGCGAGGCGGGACACTCAAGGACTCCCGAGATCCTGTGGGGGCGTGCGGCCGCGGTATACTGTCGCCATTCGTGGAGGACGCGAGGCAGGACACTCAGGATCCCCTCTTCCTTCAAGGCAAAATCCTTGGTTTTACGAAGGTTTTGGGCTCATGTTGCCCTTCTGAGGGGGCGGCGCTCATTGAAGCTCCCCTCTTCTTTGATCGATGTCCTCCAAGATGGCCCCAAGAAGCGCCCAGGAGGCACCAAGAGGCCCCAAGATGGCCCCAAGAGGCCCCCAGGAGGCCCCCAAGAGGCCTCCAAGAGGCCCCCAAGATGCCCCCAAGAGGCCCCCAAGAGGCCCCAAGAGGCGCCGAAGACGCCCCAAGAGGCCTCCAAGAGGCTCCCCCGAGGCACCCAAGAC